AGCACCATCCTCCACTTCACCTACTAACTTATTGCCTGATCAGGTTTTATCTAACGATTCCGACGTTCCTATTGATTTATTTTTATCTGATGCCGACACTACTAACCCACAGGAAACTTCGCCTAATGAAAAGAAGGAAAATTCAAGGTTGCCTCCAAATTGTATCAAACGTACAGAGGATAATGAAAAAACTATCAAACAATTTCATTCATTGATGGCTGAATATCCTCAGTATGCGTGTTGTAAATGTGACAAACTTCAATTCCGTCATGGTGTTGTTATTTTCAAAGAAGGTCTTAACTTTAAGCTCAAGTTACCCAATGATAAGAAAACTTGGATTTGTAACAGATGTAATAAGTGCAGGAAAAATAAGACCATTTCCCCTGTTGACGGGCTCTTGGGCTCTGGCGAGCTGCCGCTTTCCTTGCGACCAAATCCAACTGAGTGTCGTCTAGTGTCTCAAATGATCCCATTTATGAAAATTGTAACACTACCGGCTGGAGGCCAGAGCTGCATAAAGGGTCCCGTTGTAAACGTCCCCATTCAGCCGGATAAGACTTGTATGCAGTTACCTAGAAAACTTTCTGATGCTGGTATAATCGGTGTTCAAATTAAGAGGAAGGTAAATTATAAGTCTGTTGTTATGTCTGACATTGTTGATCCAAACAAATGTATGTCCTTGCTCGTCTGGTTGAAAGATAATAATCCATTCTATCAAAATGTTGTACTGTCAAATGCATTTATCAGGGAAAACTATGGTTCTGATAAACAATTCTTTAACATGTACATGAAAGATGACCCTTCTGTTGTGGCTATGTCCATTATAGATTTAGTTTTGTCGAATGTTACTAATGAGGGTACTTATTGCGATTTACCGTTTGAAGCCTGTGTCCAGAAGTCTGACCCTGCTGAGGGTATCAATGATGGCAAGATACCTTTCATGGACTTTGCTCCGGGCCAAGACAGCAAGCCAATTCCATTTCTTGGTAATGTAGCTTCGGAGCCACTTTCGTTTCCAAATTTGTTCCCTCTCGGTCAAGGCCACTTTTATTGTGATACTAGGCAAGATCTTATCAAAAATAAACAACTTCCTAAATTATCATTGAAGGATTATGCAGAAAGTAAGCTATATTCTAAAAATAGAAAATATGCACAAAATTCTGAGTATGTTTTTTACCTTCAAAATTGGATTGAGAGAACTGAAATTATTAACTCCATCTCTACCCACATTCGGAAAGGGGCTAAAACTTTGGACGGGCAAATTATTACTGCTGGGCTCTTAAGGTCGTATCAGAATAATATGGATCAAATCCAGAGCAATATTGACGCGTATAAATTCATGAAGAACATGAAAGGAACACCAGCATACCTGCAGAAACTAAAAAATGATGGGATCGCTATGGTTAATCAGTTAGGGTGTTTTACATGGTTTGTTACAGTTTCTTTTAACGATCTGGTCTACTCTGGTCTACTTTGTGAGTTCGCAGTAAACCAATTTGTGAGTTCGCAGTAAACCAATTTGTATTTGCACTGTTTTTTAGCTCGCTTATCAGTGATCGTTATCAGTGAAAGTGTTACTCGCCACGTCGACTTTCAACAGCGCCGACTGTGTAGCATGGATTTTTCAGTGGACCGGCTCAACGCGATGGACCATGAGATGACATCAGAATTTCAGAAAATATTCAAGGTTGCCAATGTTTCATGTAGATCTGACTTTACTGAGACCACTTTAATGAAACTTAACAAAACTCCACTCGTCAAAATCATCGGCAGCTTAATGAAATTGGCGGAGAAGAATATTGAACTTTGTAAAAGTGCTGCTGGGAAAATTGATGTCATGAAATCGGAGAAAATAGCGGATCAGAAACTAATTATTGAAACTCAACAAGGACAGATGAATTCAGTTCAGGAGACAGTTAAATCAGAAATGAAAAGTTGGACGGATGTTGTCAAGAAAAACACTGCTCAGCGTCCTAGCGGGAAACCTTTAACAGAAAACTCTATCAAACAAGCCGTAAGGACTGTAAATGAAGAGAAGAAACGATCGAAGTACTTGATGATCTACGGTTGCCATGAAAGTGATAAAGAAGCCGATTTTGAGCTCAACAAAGTTGTCAAGGACATACTTTACGGAACTGACGCTTTCCCCGTGCTCCGCACTGGTGAGGTCTACAGAATCGGAAGGAAGGAACCGGGTAAGAATAGGCCTATCAAGGTCGAATTTGGTTGTGCCAGTGAGGTAGACTTGATTTTGATGCGTGCACGAAACCTCAGAGACAGTGACGTTTTCAAACATGTTTATTTGGGACCGGACAGAACCAAAGAGGAACAGCTTGCGCATAGTAAACTTGTTAAGGAGATGAAACAGATGATCCAGAAAGACTCAAATAAACATTATTTCATACGCGACAGAAAGATCTGCACGGCTGATAAAACCTTATCATCTCAAACGTCCCAAAGCTCCTGATAAGAGTTAATGTATGATGTATGTTGAGTGTTATTTGGTGCTGACTGGAGTTGCCGTGTGTAGATTTACCACTTTTTACAATTAATAAATGAACCGCGTTGAAAGCTTATTTAGTGTGTTTTTTTCAGTGCTGAGACTGGTAAATGTTAAAGTAACAGAACCTGAACTGCAACTCATATTTTTATGCTATTTTCTAGTTACGTCGACACACAAGGCTAAATAGTTTTCGGAGGCCTGCTAGAATTTTATTCTCTATGTTTCTCTATAATTTTATATTGTATGTTTTTTATATTTCGGTACAGACCAGCGCCCATTGGGCGTATTCAATCAAATCAATCACTCGGTTCCAGCTATTTTAACACTAATGGGGGAAGAACCTACACCTGAACTTCTTGCTGACATTAGCTGGTTTCGCAAACATGAGCTTGTGAAAATGGACCCCGTGATTGCGGTCCGAATGTTTGATCACTACGTTCGTAAAATTTTGTCCTACCTTATTGAGGATCAAGCTGTTTTGGGAGAAGCCGTTGCTCACTTCGGCAGAAATGAGTTCGGTGGTCGAGGATCTCCTCACTTACACATGCTTCTCAAAATTCTCAATGCCCCAATACTCGGTGAGGATCCAATAGAGGACGTCATTGCCTTTATAGATAAGTATGTAACTACATATTTTCCTACAATAGAGGAAGATCCTGTACTGCACGAGCTAGTCAAACTGCAACTGCATAAGCATACAAAAACTTGTCAAAAGGCTAATTGTGACATTTGTCGTTTCGGTTACCCTCTACCCCTATCTGAAACTACCAGGGTTGACATGAAACAAGTTGGTAAAAATAGAAAAAGTAATACTTCCACTGAACCAGATAATACTAATGGTACAATACCAGACTCGACAGGGAAGAGTTTATTTATCCGAGCAAAAAACATTATCTATAAAAGGTTGCCTGGTTGTGAGTTTGTTAACACTTACAATCCTATATTACTACTCGCAACTAAATCTAACATCGATGTGCAATACGTGACCACCATGTGGGATGTCGTTAACTACATAATTTCTTATGCCACCAAAAAAGAAAAGGAAGTATGCGATGCACTTAAGGACATTATCCGTAATATTGATCAGACCTGCAACAAAAACTCAAAGGAAGTTTTACGCAATCTTGGAAACACTTTTTTGAATGCTAGGTCTGTGTCAATTCAGGAGGCTATTTTTAGATGTCTGCCTCATTTAAGTCTTTCCCACTTTAAACCTTCTGTTTTATTTATCTCTTCTGATATGCCAAAAGATCGCCACGGCATTGTTAAGCCACGTGCTTCTTTACAAGACCTGCCGGATGATTCTGAAGATGTTTTCCAGACATCTTTGGATGAGAGATATGTGCAGCGTCCTGATCATTTAAACGATATGTGCTATGCTGAATTTGCCTCTTTGTATGTTCGTCTTTATAGGAAGGTCACTCCTAAAAACGAGCATAAAGTAATAACTCTTAATAACAACATGGGTCAAATGATTAGAAGAGATTCGCCTCAGATTGTTCGCTCCCATAAAAAATCACGTACCAAAGAGCCTGAAAGTTATGGCTACTCTAAGTTATTCCTGTACTATCCGTGGAGAGAAAATGCTGACTTAATCGGTAATCATAACAGCTATATTGACTCGTTTGTCGCCCGTCTTGATGGTATGAAACAAAACATTCAAAAGTTTGAAAAATTTGATGACGAAACTCTGGCAAAAATGGAAAGTGAAATCAGAGAAGACATCAAGAATTCTCTTGATGAAGAAGCTAAGAAAAAGGAGGTTCTAGACGGTAGACATATATTTAACCACCCTTTCGACGGAATTAACATTTCCAAAGAGGATGAAAGTTCAAATTTTAATGTAACTTACAAAGAACCCTGCATAACTGACGAAGAATACAATAATATGGTTACCAGCCTAAATGACAAACAAAGGCTATTATTCCAAATAGTTGATCAACATTCGGACCAAGTTGCTCAAGGTAAAAAGGTAAACCAGTTTATTCATTTTCTTAGTGGCGCCGGAGGTGTAGGCAAAAGTTTCTTAATAAAATGTTTGCGTCACTGTATCTCGCGTAAGTTTAAGGATAACATTATAAACCCTAGGGTGGCTGTTGCTGCAAGTACAGGTGTTGCTGCAGCCCTGATCGACGGTCAAACGGTGCACCAGCTGCTGCAACTTGATTGTCAGGAGGGAGGTAGGATCACACCTAAACTACTTAATCCGAAAAAGAAGGTTAAGATGAGGAGGTTTTTCCAGAACATTAGATACATCTTTATAGACGAGGTGTCCATGGTTGGAAATACAAACTTAAATCAAATTAACACACGATTAAATGAAATTTTTGGTGTCCCCCCAGAAACAAAATTTGGTGGCATTAATGTGATTTTCTGTGGTGACTTGCATCAAATACCAGCAGTTCAACAGACCATGGTGTTCGAGAGTAAAGGTATTGCAGCCCTAGGGCCAAATGTCTGGAAGGAATCTGTAACTTTTACGGAGCTTTCCGATATTGTACGGTCCAAGGGTGACAGCCAGTTCACTGAGCTTTGCCACCGTCTTAGAGTAGGAGACCATACTGCTGATGACATTAAGTTGCTCTCCAGTTGAATTGTAGACAAGCAACCGGCACCTGCTGACATTATGGATTCTATGGTGATATATCCTACCAATAGACAATGTGCCACTCACAATCAAGAGTGCGTTCGTGAATTAAGTAAAACAACAAATATCACCAATATTGTCGCTAGTGATAGATTTTCTAATGAAACTTTTAACACAACAACTCCCTCTACAGGTGGAATTGTTTATGAGAAAATGTCTAAAAAAGCACAGGATTATACCAGTGACGATGTTAACAAAACGGCAGGCTTGCCATCCTCATTAAGTGTGGGAACTGGGGCTAGGGTTATGGTGCGAGTTAACATAGATACTCTTGATAAAATAGTCAACGGTGTTACCGGCACAGTCCACAGCATTGATTTAAAACCGGGCAAGATGATAGAAGCAGGTACCCTTATTGCTAGAGATGTTAGACAGATAAACATTGTGTTCGATGATGTAAATGTAGGTAGATCGATCAAACATCGTTGTGACAAGTACTGCTCCAAGACATGCACGAAGACCGGCACTGTCCCAATTAAACCTGTCGAAAAAGAATTTCTGTCAAAGAAAAACAACAAGACTTGGCTCAAGCGTTACCAAGTTCCGTTAGTCCTCTCCTGGGCGTGTACTGTACACAAGGTTCAGGGTTTAACGTTGAGTAAGGCTTTCATATTCCTTGCTGCAGCTTCTAAAGGTCATTCATGGCAGTCCGGTATGGCATATACTGCAAGTTCTAGGCTTACGTCTCTTTCCGGTCTTCATTTCATTTCCTTTGATCATAAGCAGATTCGGACGTCTCAAAAAGTAGTTGCTGAATACAGTCGGTTGCGAAGTGTTCCTCCGGTTACTTTACATCCTCAGCAAGACTCTAAGGCTACATCTTCCCAGGAAATTATCACCAGTCCAATTCCATTTTCTCCGATCAGCCTTCCCTGTTCTCCATTTTCACCCCGCATGAAACCTTCACTGATAGTGCTTGATGAGTTAGGCCGTCCACATTCCCCACCCAGCCCTTTTGATGACTCCCCAGTACCTTCTCGGACATTGAAGCGGACCGTTCCTTTCTCTCCATTATCAGATTCAACTTGTAAACAGTTCCGAGGCGACAAACTGTACTCTCCACTGCCAAGCTCGTTCTCCAATTTGACTTCCAAATTGAAACGCTCCATCCCACGTTCTCCTTCAACATTCGTCAGTCCTACCGTGAGAAAACATAAGAAAATCAATCATTCTCAGATAGTAGGCGATAGTCCAGTTGCACCTCCATTACATCGTCAGACCATACATGATGTAAGCAGTCAACTTAGCCAACCAACAAGTTTTCCACAAGTTTTGTCTGAGTCTGTTGGTCGGGCACACATTATTGACTTTTTGGGCCACCCTCAATCCGCTGCATCTGCCGCTTTTCTACAATCACTTGGATTTGCAGTAAATACTTCCTTCGCCACAATACAAAAAGGGTCAAGTTGTGGTTATATAGCATCAAGAGTAGTTTCCAAACTCAATTCTTTGATTTTGAACGGTCAATCCTGGTTTGACTCATCTTTGTTCAGTTGCAACTACTTTGGGCCATCAGATTACTCTACAGATATCTGTGCCATTGGCAATTATGCTCTAACAATTCCAGGAATTCATCCCGTCTTCCTAAGTGAAACTAATTGTCTAGATCTTATTCCTATTTACTCGCTTCATTTCCATGACCTATTGCTACCTCATAGGAACGAGTACTTCTCTAATATAGAACCTCCCCAAAGTAAATCTAGTTTCAAGGCCCGCATCATTCACCTTTAAGGGAGAAGTTTAAATCAAGCTCACAAGTCCTTTCTCCTACTATATTTATAGTAAATACGGATGATGGTCATGGTGTTCACTGGTACACTGTAGCTTTAGAAATGACCATCCCAACAAAACATCATGCTCAACATGAGTTTTAACTTCTCTTTTAAAATTTTCTGTGGAAATTAAAGTGGTTTTTTACACTACTTTACTTATCATAATATCGTTTCACATATATCAACTTATAGTCTTTGCGCATGTATTAACTTGATTGAAACTTCTCTCAGAAACTTCTCCCAGAGGTGACCGTACTAATATCACCGAATTTAACATTTGCTGATAAAAGTGAACCAAGGTAGTGTTAGACATTTTGTCCCTACATGGGCTCCCGGCCGTGCGTCCATGTAGGAGATGTGGGGCCTTCAGAGTGATAGGGTTACAGTGACTGTTAGTAGCGAAAGTATGAAGGCTATATCAGTAGACACAATTACCGAACACAGGGCATTGGCTCGACCTCCGAGACGGGGTATCCGCGAGGACCCTGGTCGTAATCAGCTCTGCACTGTTTCAGTGTATCCTGATGCCTGAAATCTAGGACACTGTCTACGTACGGGGTAGACTGCCACGGACGATTGGCTCTACTGCTATCTTGGTTCACTTTTTGACAAGAGCATAATGTTTAATTTGCTGCCATCTATATTATTCGTTCTATTATATTACGTGCAGGGGTCTTCACGGAACAGTTCTCGAAATCTACTATTTCGTTCTTTCTCAATCTGTACTGTCCCTTAATATAGACATTTCTTTGGCTTTCAGAAATTGAATTTGATAAAAGGGGAATTTCAATTCCTGCTTCGTTTCTGTTTTGAAAGCTTGATAGTAAATATTGGGATGGCTAATAGTACAGAGAAATCCTTGAAATGCTTAATACCTCAATAGACCCGGTATAGTTTTATCACAAAAACGTCTACTTGGCCTTATGCCTCATTTACAGCTCGAAGGTACTATATTATAAATACGTCTTTCTATTTAATTTATAAAGTTGCATAATTTTTCGTACTTTGTAAATGATCCAAAATAGGCCTAAACTAATTCTGACAAGACAGCTCCAGGACGATATATTATTTCAATGGTATGGTTTTCGCAGGTAAACCTCAGGTTTTGAGATGTCTAGTCCGCCAGGCTATGCTGACCATGATGTTTTTCAACATTTTTAGGGATATGAAGGAATTTCTTGCATTTAATTTATGCTTACTTTATAATTTATAATATATCAACTTATACGTAGGACCGGAATAATATCACCAAATTTAACATTTGCTGATAAAAGTGAACCAAGGTAGTGTTAGACATTTTGTCCCTACATGGGCTCCCGGCCGTGCGTCCATGTAGGAGATGTGGGGCCTTCCGAGTGATAGGGTTACAGTGACTGTTAGTAGCGAAAGTATGAAGGCTATACCAGTAGACACAATTACCGAACACAGGGCATTGGCTCGACCTCCGAGACGGGGTATCCGCGAGGACCCTGGTCGTAATCAGCTCTGCACTGTTTCAGTGTATCCTGATGCCTGAAATCTAGGACACTGTCTACGTACGGGGTAGACTGCCACGGACGATTGACTCTACTGCTATCTTGGTTCACTTTTTGACAAGAGCATAATGTTTAATTTGCTGCCATCCATATTATTCGTTCTACTAACATTCATATTTACATATCTTTCACCGTTATTTATATATTTGTATTAATCACTGTAGATTAGATGTATTATAAGGATGCAGGTGGAGGACGTCCGATTGTGCTACCCGTGGGCACAACTCGTGTAATCCGGAAACAATGGAGATCGTGTAAGACTTCTATTGGCTAACTCTCCACATATAGGTAAGTTCAGGTGAGTTCAGGTAAGTATGACCTAATTTCATTACTTACATTAAACTCGTCTGCTACAATAAATGAATAACAGGGACTTCCATAATAGTGCATACTCAGCTTTTGTTTTGTGCCCCGGATTCCCAACTTTCTCATGTTTGCTGATGTCTGAATAACAATTTCTTACGTGATTGAACAAAAACCTCCATTAACTTTTTGAACACAGCTCTATGACGATATTTAATTTCAGCAGCTATTTTGTTGCTTAATATATTTTACAGCTTGCACTTGGGACACGATGTTCTGCTCGGTACACTCTGACATCATCTTCGGCAATATCTATTCCTTATCGCTAGCAGTTAGCTCTCTACCTTATACATTGGCTAGCAACACTCTACAGATATCGACATGTAACATATCAAAAAATGCTGAACCTGGGGGCTTCTTTAATGTGCCGGTTCGTTTACTTAATCATTCCATTAAATGCTCTTTCTTAAACAATTACTGCAGAACAGGGCCAAACCTTTAATGTCCTTACACCCTACTACACTAATTTTTAATCATCACTCTACTTCAGGCAACACAACACAGTCTACTTCTCCAACAACTAACGATTAGGGGATTCAAACAACTACAAATTAATCCACAAGCTTACATCTACATCTTCTACATCATCAGGGGGTAGCATCCTCATTACTACTTAGCTCACCAAAACCATCTGAAACTGGATATTGACTACTCACACTAACCTTTCATTTCATACTTTCATCATCATAAACAGTGTCAAACACCGCACCATACGTTGTACTATTACACACTAGCCTCAACTAAAATTCAACGAACGCAACATTCAAACCTACTACAGGCATATATATAATATATTTGGGGCTGTACTAATAATAGGTCATGGAAGCCTACTTTTCCCACAAGCAGATAATTACCCAAACATTTATATTTATATCACGACTGTAAGTTGTAACATATATTCTGAAAAGTTTACTTGAAACATTCACACGAGAACAGCTATATATCCTAATACATTGTTTCTGTCTATCTTACATTCACAAAAACATGAAATTAAAATCTCCGACATCTGCCTTTTGTTTAAGCTACATCCTTCATAATGAGTAGTTCTCCCCAGTGTCGTAATCGTTTTGATACTCATCTGGTATGTTTCCCGTATCTAACTTGTCTTTTGGTTACTTATAATCGATACGATTGTGGTTATTGTAAAATATGAAGTGCACATTAGCATTAAAAATGACCACCACCACATCATTTGGAAGTGTTTGTCAACACTAACAACCACCACCACATCATTTGGAAGTGTTTGTCAACACTAACAACCACCACCACATCATTTCTCTGTGCATGTCAACACTAACAACCACCACCACATCATTTGTCTGTGCATGTCAACACTAACAACCACCACCACATCATTTGTCTGTGCATGTCAACACTAACAACCACCACCACATCATTTGTCTGTGCATGTCAACACTAACAACCACCACCACATCATTTGTCTGTGCATGTCAACACTAACAACCACCACCACATCATTTGTCTGTGTTTATCAACACTAACAACAACCACCACATCATTTGTCTGTGCATGTCAACACTAACAACCACCACCACATCATTTGTCTGTGCATGTCAACACTAACAACCACCACCACATCATTTGTCTGTGCATGTCAACACTAACAACCACCACCACATCATTTGTCTGTGTTTGTCAACAATAACAACCACCACCACATCATTTGTTTGTGCATATCAGAACTAAAATTGCAAACGTTAAAGAGGGATCCCAATCAGCAGACTTTCAACAGGAATTATTTTCCTACCGCTGACGTAATCTGATGCGAAAACCAACAACTCCTCATTCTACAATTACACGTATCCATCCTCGTATCAATTTATTTAACCATGACAAGTTAGGAACGGCATTGTAACCTACAATTCGACTAATATAAGTCTTCAAATGTATATCGATATCCACTGAATCTGTTTATCATTAAAGACTAAGCTTAAACAAAAGTGCATACTGCTTAACTTCGACTACCCCGTATTCATTCCAAACCGCCCAGTGCAACCTCCCGTGAGGATCTGGATATTTATAGTAATACAATCGACTGAATGTTTCAGTAAACTTACTGCGGGGTTAAGGGTTTATCTGTCCGAATAGATTCAATAAAGAAATCTAGGTTCCCATGACCAATATAATTGAGATGTCAAGAAGAATTAAGAATATACAACTTTTTTAAATGATAAAAGTAGTTTCTTGTCATTTGATCTGTCTAATGGTTTTCATTAATAGTTCATGTTCTGTTCAATATTACTTAAAATTTATTTCTTCAATTAGTTGTTTCATTGTTGCTCAAATTAAACATTAAAGAACGTTTACAGCGAATGTATGAAATATTTATGATAACATAATCTTACAAACCATGCCCCGTACAAGTATGTCAATTTTACAATACCACTGAGTCTTACCAAATAAAACCATTTGTATTGGTACAGTTTATTAACTTAAAGATGGCCTGCTACGTCATGACTGTTGCAAAAGAAGGGGAGACAATATAACGTTTCCTTCTATAATTGTACGATCACGCGACCCTAGCACCTGTGCCACCCACACCCCAACTCAAAACACGTGAAGAGTTTTTATCCAACGCGAAACAACTCCTGCGCCTCAGACGATTTTAGTCAGACACCATCATGCCGCGCGGCTTTTCAAACACTATTTAAAATATTCTCTGCGCGACTGACGGCATACATTAGAAGCTTTATTTTTATATTCACACGCAAACATGATAAAGGCAACCTTTCCACTTCCTACCTCGTAGGGGCCAATAATGTAGAATGAAGAAACATTATTAATTATTTTTGCAAACATAAATTTAAACGATCGACAAAAGGTAATGCCTACGGTCGATGGAAATCTAGCGTCCGCTAACCGGCGCAATTCTTGTTAACTTTAAAACTAGCCTAATG